TGCGTTTAAGTAAACGTTAAGTTCAAAATCGAAATGCATTCGATCAGCATTGATCACAGTCCAGGGATCGTTTTATCATCTGAATAATCGAACACCAAATAGTTATTTAGACAGCTGATCTACGAATACGGATATAAGTGATTACCAACAAAGTTACATTGTCAAGCACATAACATCAATCAAACAAATTGAATATTCATTCAAATTGCATTCCTCGTCCAACCAAATCAAACTACCACTATGAACAAATTTGATCAACATACGAAATCATCTCTTAGCTATGTAATATTCTAATTATGCTGCACAGAATAGACATAACTATAAACACATAATGCTCAATGCTTTGACCCCGTTCGTGCGTATGCATAATTATAAATTATGTTGTCACTCACACTTATCTCATCTATATCTATGTACATCATCATACAAATACGCTATAATTCACACCTTTTTACCTCTGTGTATCGTTTCACTGATAGTTTTGGTATTTCAATTATTGAATGCACTAAAATGGAATTCAGAATTGCATTTAAATGAAATTTACAAAATGCAAAAAATGCGAAGCTTGAGAATATTGATTCAAGCTGGAATTCCATCGTATCAATGCAGAAAAAAAAGAGTAGAAAAGAACAACGAGAAGAATACATTGCAGAGTAATTTTTTCTGATAATAATTAAAAAATGAACTGAAAAAGTCGCAAATGATATCCATTCATCATCGATGCATATTCATTTCTGTAGAGATATCAAGCACCTCCGCATAAAGTCAAATCAACAAGGCACATAGTCACCATCATCCAACCATTCAACAAATGAATGGCGAATGATATTCCTAGGGGATTTTTAAGTGTATTGCTTCAAATTTGATTACTTACTGCTAAAACAATCTTGGATATAGCAAACGAATGTTATTGATAGATGGATGAATTGATGGATGAATAGATAGTAGCAGCATAAAGGGTTAGCAGTATGTATCTGAGAGATCAATACACAGCATAAATAAGGCATAATTCGAACAACAATCAACCATTTGCTCACACTGCAAAGTTATCTTTCGAGGAACAATCTCAAAATTTGTATATTTTTCTGAACAAAGCAAATCCTCATTTAATCCCTCCGAAATGCAACCCAAATTCGTTAATGCGTCTCCTCATTATTGCAATGTAAACAATTCAAACAAGTTGCGATGGTAACCGATTGAAGTTCGCTCGATAAATTCCAGTGGATTTCGCTCGGAATTTCCACATTCGGAA